GGTGCTCTTCCTTATCACGACCTTGCCGGAAGGAGAGCAGCCGCGCAAATGTGCGCCATTGGTGGGTGTCCTTTTAACGATCCTTTCCTCTTCCGTATCCGTTACGCACCAAACGAAGCGGAAAGGGTGGTTTTGTGGATACGGATGCGGTTTCGGGGATTAAATCCGGGATTATTTATCAGTTTTTCCCCGATGCTGAAAATACATGAGAAAAGGATCCTGTGCCGTAGGATTTATTGCGTTTTATTTACGCACGAATAAATACGAAATTATCCGGCTTCCGTAGCATCCGGATTTGCGTGTTCGACGAAATCAAACTGATTTTTATTTTCTAACTCAATTTCATTTCTATAAATAGTATAATAAGTATCTGCCATTCGGTATATAGAAAATGCACTATATATTATATCTGCAGAATATCTATAATGTATTCTTACCCAAGGCTTTCTTTTTGATAGAAAGAAACGTGATATTTCTTCATGCAAAACTTACGGCGAAAAGCTATGTTGTGCTCGAAACAATTCCATCTTCAATACTTATTTGTCGTCACGCATAGAATGGAAAGTAAATGAGTATCACGTAAGAGCTTGTTGAGAAATTAAAGGTATAAATCGTCACTGAGATTACAAGGAAACACGAAGTGTTTCGCGAACATAACGGCACGCATGCAGGGTATGCTTGCAAAACGTGCGAAGCGTGCGACGTGACGCGAATAAGTAATCGTCTTACTTATGCAGCAAGGAAGATTAGTAGTTGGCCGTAGTAATTTATATCGATCGTAGACATAAGTTAACTTTGAGAGAGGTGAGAAAGGTGAGGAAAGTCGGTGTTTAGCAACGAGAGCACCGGATAATCAGCTGTAATCAGCAACTCTTACCCTTGCGCTGCAAATTTGATCTCGCAAGTAACAAGAGAATTAATTCTCGAATTCAAAGGGAGAAAGAAGAGAATCGCGATTCAAGGAAATTTGTACCTTTTATTTTCTTTACGCGTGTGAAATTATAAAACTGAACGACGAAACGGAAAACCGCGCTCATGACTCGATATAATTACTCGAAGTGATACATGCGTCACTAATATGCGACAGCACAAAACGAAGCCGTATTGATGGGTAAGGTTTCGAGGCGAACTGAAGGCTCATCCTAGGCTGAGGTCAGGGCTTTATTTACCTCTTATCCCGAATTTATATTTATACTTTTTCAGAATACATTTAAACGAATGGATCGCAAATGGTATTTAGAGTCAAAGATGTTACAGCAATAATCGTTAAAATGTTATTTTTTAACCTAAATAAGTGAAAAAGTAAAAGTCATATAATAAAGAATATAGAGGACTCTTAATTTAAAAAAAACAATACAAAGATTATAAAGGACATATAAGTCAATATTAACAATTCTGAATGTAAAAAGTTAAGACAGAGAATATATTACATTATTTGAATTCGAAAGGTACATTAGTTATTAGTGAAAAAGACCATATCTCAAGGAACACACAAAAGTCAACAAAAAATTAAAGTATCTTTATTTTGATTCTTAATAAGTTAATAAACGATCAAATGTTGTAATTAAAGATCATCATTTTGACTTTCATGACGTTATAAAATCATTTTGATTTTTTTACTAAGTGTATTCCTTAGAATTCGGTTAAAGCAGGTTTTTGTGTTTAATAACATTTTGCATACATTTTCCAATTCAAGTAACCTGCACGTCGAATATTTGTCATTATTTGTCAAATACAGTTCTAAACTGAAGTTGGCGTACGTAATTACTAATTAAATTGACAAACAATTTAATAATACTTATTATCTTTGATTAACGATGCACACGAGAACTGTTTACGAAAAGGTTGCTTCAAAAGAGACCTCAATTTTGCCAAATTGAATTTATGTCCGAATAATAATTATATTTTATATATTATTACGATAATTGTGTGTGTGTGTTATATAATTTATTATTATTAATAGTCATGTTGTATCTATATTTATTAGAAAAGCAAATAAAATTAACGATTTGAAAAATACAAAAGCTTCAAGGTGACAGAAGGTATTTTGCTTTTATCCAAACAATAAATGAAAATAGGACATTTTGGGACCGAAAAATAGGCATCTAGTCTCAGGGAAAGGCTGAATCAGAAAAAGGTTAAAACAAAGCTAATGACTACGATTTCAGGATGAAGCCTGCGTCAGAGAACGAGATGGACCCGAGGGTGTTTGCGACACGGATGTTTGCATGGAGGCCTCGAAGAGGATCTTAACGTCTATGAAACGTGGCGTTGATCCTTGCAAAGATTTTTACAAGTTCGCCTGCGGTGGTTTCCGCGATCAGCAACCCTATCAACCGAGTGCGAGCTTCAACATACTCCAGGCGCAAATCGACGAACGTATACACAGTGAGCGTTTTACAGTTTTCCACCACTTTCCTTTTACATTTTAACTTAAAAAAATTTTAGACATTATTTTCACAAGTCTCAATCGCTAATTTCGAAAACTTAATTACTTCGCTGAAGCAAAAAATCGCGTTCTATGATGTAAAAATATTCCATTCCTTTTACCGCGTTTCAATCTCTTTCAGCCGAGTGGATTTATATGGCCTCATTAAAACATTCAATTCTCAGTGGAGTAATGACGTAATGTCTTTCAATAGAATAATTATAAAATACAGTATTTTTTCTCGGAAAAATAAGAGCACATAATTTACGCCCGATTAAAATGATCTGTTTTGCGGATTAAAAGAACTTTCCGTAAGAGAAAAAAATCGAGTTTATAATGGATCAGTGATTTTATTGTTATTCTACATAATGCGATAAAATTGGAGTTGCCTGTATAAGAAAACCTCGTCTTTATAGAATTATTTGTACAAAATTGTAGAAATTTATCTGCAATTCTTTTACATTACGTGTAACGATTCTAAAGAGTGTATTGACTATCGAAGTATATTGTATGACGATAACGACGGTATCTCGGCAATCCTATCGATTTTCTTTGTCCTCTTTTCGTTGCGATTATTACGATCCTCGTGTCGACGAGGGAAAAGAAAGAAAAAGGAAACCGGATTTGCGGATGAGAGACGGGTATAATTAGCGACATGTTAATTTTCAGCGTAGAGATTCAAAGACCACGGGAAGAACCCGGACAGAGAACCCGACCTCAATTTGGCAAGAACCTATCGCGAACACGATAATAGTTAGTGGTAGTGGTGTCGCCGGCGCGACTGGCGCCGAACGACTGGCACCAACTATGCTCGCGTATGGATCGCCGCCGGATAATATAACTGTTCGGGGATCGAAACTTAAAGGGGAGATGAATAAACATCGACTATATATACGAGAAATGTCATTACGAGGAACATCGGAATGTGGATCGAAAAACTCGGTGTCTATCTATTGACGGATCCTGAAACTTTTCAAAGATTCATCGGCGCATAGAAAGCGAAATCTTTTTTTTAATATCAAATATGGAAAGATAGAATACTAAATTAATTTATTTAAGTTATTACATTAAAAAAGTATTATTTGAAATGTACAATTTACAAAACATTTTATTTCAAATTATATCGACACAAAAAAAGAATAATATAATAAAATCTATTTTTTTATATATAGGAGTTTCTTAAATTAAAATATATATTTGGAATATCAAAATTGTGATTGAGCACATTTTACAAAAATTACAAATATAACAGTTTGTCATAAATATTTTTAAAAAAGGAGAGGAACATGGTTCTCCTCCTCCCGTGGATCCGTTAATTGCGCTGTCTCGTTAAGGGATCTGCAACGGGGAGGTTGCAAGTTCTCCGGAAGTCTTCGACGTTGGTACGGTCACATTCCCTGAAAATGAAAGAAACGAACGGGGGAGGGTCGTTTCGTTTGATGAAAAGTTATCGGACTCTGATGCAAGGCGAAATTGAACGGCCGACTTGCCGTTACTATAAATAATGCACATTAATCGATATACGTACGTGTACACGTGTGCATACGTGTGTTGCACTGGTTGCTTACTGTTTGGCGGAACGCCTCTCTCTGAAACCTTCTCTTACTTTTACGTTTACCTTCGTAGCGATATTCGCGTGATTCAAGGTCGACGAATTGCCCCCGCTGTTAATCAGATCATTTGCGAGATCTTTAGCCGTTGTGCCTTATCCCTTCAGCCTTCTTTGCGAGTTGAACTTAACGACATTTCCTTCCAGGAAATGATCCTAATCGCGAGTATTATTGTTTTAGAGACGCTGACAAACGAGACGGGACAAATGGTCGTTGCCTTCGAGAAGCTTGGGCAGTTTTACGATACTTGTCGAGACTTTAAGAAGAAACCCGTAAATTTTACACCCGGTAAAAGATTTGTTCACGATACTTCGTTTCACGAATAGTTAGCTAATATTGCTAACTCGCTCTTTTATTAGAGAGTTTTTATAATATCGTTTATCCAGATACGGTGAACGCTAAGGTCAGGTTACCTCTTCTTAACAATTAATTAAGAAAAGGTTAATATGACCTTAGCGTTCACCGTATCTAAATTCACGTTATTGCAAAAGCTCCCTATTATTATTAATCCTTATTGGTAGTCACGAGTTTAGTGGACCCGAATATTTTCTGTGATAATATTGTGAAAAATTGTTTTTTTATATCTATAAAATAAAAATAAAATCATTTCAATTATATTAATTTTAAGCAAAGCTGTATTAATTTAAAGCACTGGACTCGCGAATATGAATTAAGGATATTTTGGAACAATCAGTACTAATTAGAGTTAAAACATACCATGTGCATTAACATTTGGTAGACATAAATAAAATTCGAATATTTATAATAAATATAAATCTGAAAATTTTTCTAACACAATTATTTTAGCGTTTCAATTTTAATAAATCAAATATGAAATAATTTTATTGCATATAAATGAGTTAATATTGTAGTTCTTTTATTATTAAAACGTATCATATTAACATTTGTTAAATGTTAATAAAAATCGCGGATAAGGACAGATCCTTTTCTGTATAATTCTTCCGTTACTCCAAATCGTATAAAGTTTCTTCAGTTACTCCAAATATGCGTCTCGTTGGTATTATCATACATCTTGTACGACGATAAGGCACTTTTAATGCTCCCTCTTTCAGTTTACGAATTGTTGAATAAATTTGGTGGCTATCTATCGCCGAAAAGCGTGGTGCCGACTGACATCACTCCTCTAATCTCTGCATTGCTAAAAGTAAACGGCGCGCCCTTCTTCGATTTATACATCGACATAGATCTTTACGATCGCACAAAGTCATCTGTATATCTTGATTTTCCTGTCAAGCACCAGAATTATAAATTTCTCGCAGAGGACCAGGTAAGAATTCGAAGCTATCTTGATTCGACATTTTACACGGTAATTAAACAAAAATCAACGAACTTTTATGCCTTTAAATTCTTGGGCGCTTTTAAGACGTTTCTCTTTTTTTAAAATCTTGTAAATACGCCGCGATATTTTTCCAGAAAAACAGAGACGTACAAAGATCGCGTAGAATTCGAGAGATTGTCCAAGGATTCTTGCCAAAAAATATGGATCCTGAGGAACAATCGTCGGAGACGGATCTGCTTTTGCAATTTTGCTTATCGCTTGAAAAGGTAAGGGTTTATCGCCACCGTTTTATGTGAATTAAACAGCGAATAAAGTGCGTGCGTTATGTCAGATTTATCCAAAGCACAAAGATTTGTACAATTGGGTGGATGTTGAACAGAGGGTATACGTCGCTTACAACGTTACTTATCTCCAAGAAAACTTTGGTTACGTAAGTATCAACTCAATACGGGCTCTTTTAGCCGCGAACTGCACGAAATTCCGCTACGTGCGATCGTTAGTGAAACAGACACGACAGCTATTCTGTCACAAACAGTAGTTATCCCTTTGCTTGCCACTTGAGTGTAGCATACTTTCTTTTTCCATTGCTTATAACTTTTCTATTAATAAAAATACATCATATATTTAAGTATTTTGATTGAAAAAAAGTTGTTATAATTAATTATAAATTTCATAAAAATAAACGCATATTGTAAACAATTTTTTATTGCTTATAAGTAATCGAATTAGTTGAGTATGTCACCCAAGTATATGTTATTCCTTTTTAAGAATTGATAGGAGCCAATTGGAAATGAAGTTTTAAATCTAATTAAAATCATATTGGCTCCCTCCTGAGTAGCACAATCTACTGGCGTTACATTGGTTAAACATTGGCATGCATTGGGGATACATTGGCCAATAAATTGTGCTACTAGAGTTGTTTAGTTCTTAATTGGATTACCCTTATGCTTTGGATCGCAGTAGCCTCTTATTTATTTTCTCAGTCTTTTAATCATCAATTACTTTTCCTCTCTTCTCTCAATTGATCTCTCAATCGATCTTCCTTCTCTTAAAATAAGAAAGTTATTTGACGATCTTGAGACAGATAAGATGGAGATCGCTGCTGAATGCTACGTTACCCTATCGTGCGAACGGCGTCGATCTGAACGGCGGTAATAACGACACGAATAGCGTACAACGACCGCCGACGTACGTCGCATCCGAGGACCAACAGATTTATGTCTACATTATGGCACCGCGTTACTTTCGTAGCCTTGGCAAGCTATTGAGTCGCTCCTCCAGACGGTACGGATTTTCCATATCCATTTCATGACAATTTGCGCGCATTGCGTGATACGAAACCAAATCCTTTGCCTAAGCTTTCTCTTTGGAAATCCAATTGGATAAGTTGTCGATAACGAGATATCAATTTGGAAAGGGTCGATTCTATAATCGGGATGGAACAAAGAAATCGATATTCTGCTGTACACTATAATAGAGTATATAGTATTGCTAATCATATTAATCATATATACATTATAATACATCTTAATTAATGTAATATAATTTTTATATAATTTATAATAATGTAAATATTATAAATTATATTACAAATTAATATAATTTTATAATGTAATATAATTACATGTAATTATATATAATATAATAATGTAATATAATTGTTATATAATTTATAATAATGTAAATTAGATTTTGAATATATAAATTATATTAATATAATTTTTCTATTACTTATTTATATTAATATTAGATAATTATATGGTTTAATTGCTCAAATCCTAGGCTTATATATCGATTATAATAGTCATGATTATAATAATAGTTACGCAGAATACATGTATATCTCGTATTGATTAATATTTAATTATAATAAATCACGAAGGATTATTCATAACGGATTGCTGTTGCTCTATGCGGATACATTGCACGACATCGTAAACGTCACCGCCGTCAAAGACTGGAAACACTCCTGCTACAGACTGACCAAAAGCATCTTCAGCGAGGCGGTCAGTGCGCTGTACGTGCGGCAGTACACTCCAAAGTACTTAGAAACTCTGGTCAACAGGGTAATACTTTTCGTCTATTATTAACCCTTTAACAGTTAACTGATCGTTTAACAAGTTTAACAAGAATTTGAAACACGAATAAACGTGATTATCCATCTTTTGAAAGTTGCACGATTTCGCATATGTAATCCATATTTTTCGGAGTGATCAAATGTTAAAAAGTTGATCTTTGTCGTGTAAAATTTTGTCTTAATTTGATAATAATTACTTTTTATGTGACTGCAGGTGACCGCGCTGTTTGAACGCGTGAAGGAAACGATAGCCGAGCGGATATTAGTGAAGTCGTGGTTGGACGATGAAACCAGGACGCAAGCATTGCAGAAGTTAAATTCTTTACGAGGTCGATTTCATGTGTCGCCAGATTTTTACAACGACACCTTGCTAACGCGTGAAATGGCCGAGGTAAGACAATTATCTTTTTCATCTCCGGTGAAACGAATTCTCATATCTCATAATATTTTTAATAATCTATCATATTTTCAAATTTATAGAGAATTTTTGAATAAATACTTTAAATTTTCTTAAATTTTGTAAATTTTCCTCAGAAATTATAAAAATGAAAAATTTTGTAATATTTTAGAATTCATAAGAAGAATATTAGAAAAAATGTGACTAAAACACTTTTTTAGAATTTCTAAGAAGTGTTCCAATTCGTATAAAAAAATATGAAAAATTTTCTAAAAAGTTATAAAAATTATATGAAAAATTCTAAGAAAAATTTTCATCAGGGATACGCAGATACATAAATATTGAACGCGATTAAAACAGAAGAAATAGATTCTTCTCTTTCATAAAATAAAAGAGATATAATTTATAAAGTAAATCTAATTTATAATGAAGAGATGATGTAAACTTTGAAATTGTCTCTACCTTCTTTCTTTTATCAGTATTTTTAAATAGCGTTGTCTCGTAGGTCGTAATCGACTCGGATGATTTTATTACCACCGTCCTGAACAGGTTCCATCAGCTCCAAAGATCAAAAGATCAAAGTCCGTTACGAAAAAACGCGATATTGAGGTAAGAAAAAATTCTATTAGCCCTTTAACCAGAAGTCCATGAATCATTAGATAAAAATAAAAGCTTAACTAATATCGAACAATCCTATCTCTCTTTTTTGTCATTTCTTCTGTTTTGTTTTTATAAATCTTATATTATATTTTTGTGTGTTTATAAATTTTGTATTATAAATTTATCAGTGCTTAATCAATTTAGATCTTTAATATATAAAAAAGAAAAAAAACCATTTTATTCCCTTCGAAATCCTCCTAAATTGTAGATTATTGTGCTTTTAGGAATCACTACCCTTACTCCGTGCATGCCTATTACGAATCCTCCACAAACACCATCGGTAAGTACTATTATATCTACATATGCAAGTAAAACTGGCATCGAGCAATTTGAATAAATTAAGTTATCCTTGTTAAAAACGATAGAAATCCCATTGGCGATGATGACATCCTGGGCATGGTCGTGGGACGGTGGGCCAGCTTTTGCGGTACACGCTACGTTAGGATCGGTTATCGCCCACGAGATTCTCCATGCTTTCGATTTTCACCGCCGTAAACTGCCCATGGAGCCGGATCGGAACATCGACGAGTGGCTTCGCGTCACGGCAGACTCCTGGAAACGATTAGAGACCAAGATAGAATGCGTCGCGCGACTTTACGCCAGGAGCTTTTGGCGGAAGGTCCAGTCGTATGCTGGGAACGACGTTGCTGTGCAGGTAAGTTCGAGATGAACTTTGAGATGAAACTTAAGACACCAGTGAGAAATGACTGAAATTATTAATTCGATGTCGAATCGACATCGATTCGATAAGTTATTTGGTTATTTCTCGCTGAGAATGCTCACGAATCTCTCGAATTAATGAGAACAGGAACATTTCTCTTTTTTCACCCTTAATTTTGTCGCGCAGTTTGATTGGAACATGACAAAAAACGAGAACGTCGCGGATATTGGTGCTCTGCAAATTGCCCACAAGACTTGGCATATTTTGACAAACGGAAAGGATCGGAGCCTTCCCGGATTGGAGGGACTCCGACCGAGTCAGCTCTTCTTCATAAGTGCCGCACAGGTAACTCCCCTTCTTTTCTTCAAATATTTCTTTTTCGATTTCTCAGTCATAGTAAAGTATAACGATTTCTCTTTTTTTTATATATACTATTCATTCTATAATTTTGCAACAAACTAATCTATCATCATATAAAAATCATTACATACGCATATAGTACAGTTTAATTAATAAAGAAGCATAAAAGTCAATGCTACCCTGGTGAAAATTTTTCTCAGAATTTTTCATATAATTTTTCAGAATTTCTCTATAATTTTTTATAAATTTTTCACATTTTTTATACGAATTGGAACATTTCTCAGAAAATTTACATCTTTTCTCAAAGTTTTTTATATATGTTAATTATAACACATCGTAAGATTTTTAAGATTTTTTTGTAAGTATAATTTCTAATGAAATGTTATTAAATTCAAAAAATGTTTAAATACTTTTTAGAAATTATGGGATGAGAAATTTCAAAATATTTCAGAATAGATCCAGCTTAGCTTGTAGCCCTTGATTTATTGTTAATTTTATATACTATTAATGTACAATTTTATATATTATTATAATTGGGTTGAATACTTAGGTTTATTCGAAAAGCACGTTTTCTTAGCGCTTCTTTTTGCCTTTTTTAAAAAAGTAATTTTGTACTGATAAAATTATGAGAAAAATTTTTACCAGAATAGTTCAACTTTACGAATATCTTTATATATAATACATTTATTTGTTAAAATAACTATGATAATAAAGGTTTCGATCTTTATTGGGTCATCTTCAATATTTGCGTTAGCTTTTATGCTTCTTTATTAATTAAATGGATCTAATCTTAAAGCTGTTTTATATTATTATTTATATATAATGTATAATGATTTCTATTTATTATATTTATTTTTATTCTTTACATTAATATATGTATAAGATTTGTTATATCATTAATATAAGTATATTTGTCGAGTGTGACAAAAGAATTAACGTGTTCAAAGATAATTAAGAGATTATTCATTATCTTTTTGTTTTCTTTTTATATTAACTCCGTGTTAAAGTAATGTATTGTATTGATACCATTGTGTTTTTAGGTATACTGTGTTAATACGACTCTCGAGACTTACGTCTTCTCTGTAGAATTCGACTATCATGCTTCTCATCCTGAAAGGTATTGAATATTTTTCTTATCTTTCCTAATTTGTGCAAAATTTACTCAGTCATAAGTAAAGTATAACGATTGATTACACGCACGACGATTGATTTCCAGAGTCAACAGTGTAATGATGAATTCTCAGGCATTCGTAGAGGCGTTTCGCTGTCCACTCGGAACAAAAATGAATCCCCCGAATAAATGCACTGTTTGGTGATAGTAACACCTTCGTCGGTATACGAAATATATATCGATTGTATAGCAGGCTGTCCTTATATATACTTCGCTTTATTTTATTTCACAATTACAATATCGTAAGATCACTTCAGGATCATAGTTCGCAGCAAAAATTAATGCTACAGGGATAGACATTTCCCCCTCTTTACGTGAAAACTAGACTGTAATAACACTTAATTCATAAAAGGCCATAATTGCAATACAAACAGTTTAATATTACAATTTTCCTTTCTTTGAAAAAAGTATCAGCTTAATTCTAGAATCATTAAATAATTCTTATTGATCTTACACTTGAAAAATTCCATTCTTGAATTCTTGCCTTATAAATTAGATTTAAGATAAAAGAAAGTAAAGTGTGTTCCGGCACTCGTTCGTTTTTTGAAGCTGTGAAGGACGTAAAAAAATATAGTACAAGTAAATTCTAAAATAAAATAAAATAAAATATATTGTTATATTGATTTAATTCACAACAATATTAATAAAAATTATTTTTGAAAAGATAAAAAAATTGAAATAATTAAAAAATTATTTATATTATTCAGCGGGCTTAAATTTTATCTTAAAAGTGAGATGTTAACTGTTAATGGGTTAACTTTTGGGCTTTCAAAATTGCTAAAAAGCTTCAGAATATAAATCTGTTCAAAGATAATCGTTGCTTTTTTAACGTTGTTACATAGGATAAGAAGGAAATGCGTGATACATAGCTTTCTGTTTTTTGTAATTCCTGTAGAATTAATAAAAAAAATTATTAAAATTAGATTTCAAAAAATTGTTATCCGCCCGTGAATGCTGTGAAAAATTTGTTTATGACGTAACAAATTGTAGCCAATTGTGTCGATTTGAAGCGACTATAGTGATGGCTTGCGAGGTACCGCAATTACAACGAATTGTAAAGATCTACACCAATTTATATTTATAATAAATTATAACGAATTGTAATAATAAGTAAAATAAGGAGCGCATAGATAAATAGATCGATGGTCTACGATAATGACGTTAGCAACAAAAATTGGATTTACATACAATAAGCAACTATACGTAATGGAATAAATTATTAACGGTAATACGGTACGTTGCTCGATACTGTTAATAAAATGTTAACGAAATATTACATATTGTTGTTATGGTGCTGGAAAATATAATATATAAAAGTAACATATGTATGATAGGAATAAAATCTGTGATATATGTATATCAAATATCTTTGAATTTCTGGCAAATTCATTTTTGTTGGTAATGCCATCGATATAGCAAAAATAAGTTTGTACATTGAAAATATCTTTAGGCACTCTTTGGTTGAACGAAACTGCAGAAAGGAAATATGTCATATATGCTGATTGCTCGCTCTTGAATTGTTCGTATTTGTCGCAAAAAGTAAAAGTTTGTACTAGATCTATTAAACGTGTTTTAACTGAAAACATTTGATTGATGAGATGATATCCATTCCATAATCTTTTAATTTTTTTATCTTAAATAAGACAGTAAGTTTTAATAAAATAAGTACCTATACTTAATAATATAAGTAAGAAAGGGACAATAACGGATTTATTATTTAATTTAGAAATTCGATTCTTATATATTACTTCTACGTATTCAAATATAAATTACATAAATATGTATATTTTAACCATTCGGAATTTTAAGACGATATCGCATGGAAACAAAATACGAAAACAAAAATTATCACAATAAATTATCACAAAAATTAAAGAATTACATAAGAAAATAAGTATTTTGTGTTACTAAACAATTAATAGCAAGAGATTAACACATTATGTAAATGTTAATTTGCTTTATAATAACAATAATAATATACAGCTACATATTCAGTTAGTGCCCTGTTAAAATGTGGAATAATTATGTTTAATATTACACTTAATTACACACTTAACGTTAAAATGCTTATATTTAATGTCAAAGTACAGGCCATTTGTTATATAGACTTATTTTGTACTACATAGCTATAAATAAATGAAGGATTAAAATATTACATTACAATAGTGCAGGAGTTATATGATACAATATGTTAAAAAAAAATTAAAATATGTATTAAATTTAACATATAAAAATAAATAAAAAGTTAATACATATAAAAATGTCACATAAAAAATATAACATAAAAAAATATCACATAAAAAATTCAACACATACAACACAGAAAAATTAATACATGTAAGTCAAATATCACATACTATTAATATTAATACTGATGTTAATATGTTGATTTATGCCAAACTATTTTGTATTTATCTTTGCATTTTGTTATAGTTTTGCAAATACGTTTAAAGATTGTCATAATCAACATTTCCCGTTCTTACAGCTTCTACGAATTTTGCAAACTTTTCATACGAGCCTTTGTGTTTTAGAACGAATGACTGATCTTTCATTCCATCTACCCATTCCATCTGAAACAAAATGGACGCAATGGATCAATAATTATTTTTCTTGAATATGAATGATAAAAAAATCCACTACAAATTCAAATACAATTTCTGTAGATAAACAAGAAAATATTATATTTAACATTTTGTTATAAATATACATACAGTGTTAATGAATTTAAATGAATGTTAAGAAAATTGCTAAATATGAATAAATCTTCACAATTTTTATAGCTGAGTTGACAAATTTGAAAATACTGTTACTGGATATACTATTTTTTGCTTACAATACGGGGAAATCTCTCCTTATCAAGACTTGCACGCTGTTTGTAAAGTATAGTCAGAGCTTTTGCACGCTCAAACCAAGGCCATATTAGAACGTCTAACATATTTGGATTACTCCCTAAAACAAAAGATACAATTCTTATAACAATAAAGATTATATTTGCTTATTATGCAGTCAATAAGTGATCAAAACGTTATGACTCATTAATAATATTAAGATATATAAAGAGAGAAAAAGAAAATATATAGATTCGGATTTATACAAACCCCCGAAAAAAGTTGTCTTGCGTACATTAAGCTCGTTTTCAAATTCTTGTAAATCGTCCGTTACCTCAGTGAGAATCTCTTCAAACTGTCTCTTGTCTTTGCCAAATATGCAATTTGCAAAAGTATCCATAATCTATAAAGAATACACAATTATTAAAACATTATATCCAGGACAGGAAAAGATCAGATCTCAACGTCGTTATAAATACCTTAGAGAAATGATCTAACAGCTCTAAATCTCGATTCTTTGTCTCATCGTTGTATAGAGGAGGCTCAGGGTACTTCTCATCTATATAGTTCGCCACTGCGACAGAGTCTGTTATTATCGTACCATCCGAATCTATATAAATTGGTACTTTGCCATCCGGATGAATCTAAAAAAATATTTTCGTTTATAAGAATACATCCAAACAATCTTGACACTTGTTCTTTCGAAAAACTCGTTAGATTCGGATCACATTGAGTTATCTCTGTGAAAATAACTCGATGCATACTTCGAGAAACCACTGCGGTTTACTCTGCAAGTTGATATTGACAATGTCGTGTGAGACCTGCTTCAGACTCAGCACGAGGCGTATTCTATGAGCGAAGGGACAATACATCATGCTATACAGACGCGCCTGACCTTCCACTTCCGCTGGCTTCTCCGAGCCTAAAACAAAAGTTCAGTTTTCTCTTCAGAAAAACTCAACATAATGCGAGTCTTTAACGATGACACTAAATGATACACATAACAGGCACTTTGCTCATACACTACCGGCTTTCTGTAAACATATATATCCTTTGTAAAGGAACTTCCTTTCAGTCTTCGTAGACTCGACAGTCACATTACTTACCATCTGCCAGATGTAAGGAACTCATTTGAATAATCCGTTCACAGATGAACGGTCTTGTATGTGGATCGTTAAAGTGCGGCGATTGCGGCGTGGATGCTTATCCTCAATGACAGGGAATGACAAGTGTTGAAAGTTTTATTGGACGATAACGCTTCACCTGGCGCCATCTCCCACGCCCACGCACACAGGTGTATAAAAGGATGTCGGTGATTATCGATAAAAGGGACAATATGCGATTGTTAGACAATAAAATTTATTTTTTTACTCGTATACGTACTCGAGATATCACAATTCAAGAAATTCGTTTTTGTAAAAAACTAAAATCTATGAACTGAAATACCTAAAATATGCTATTAATATATTTTAGTATAAGTTTATTTTAGTTTATTTTTTCTAGTTATATATATATATATGTGTGTGTGTGAGCACGATTTGTCTTATAATGAGACTTTGATCGATAAAAATTCGGGTGAAGTTCAAGACAAACTGAAATTAGATTGCTAAAATCTTTTCCATGCAAGTAATCTATTGATAGCGAATTCGATTGGAAGCACTGATATACATTAAATTTTTGTATATTGATCTAATTTGAGTGTAAAAGTGAAATACAAATATTTTGAATAAAATAAAGCTTTTCATACATATAATATTACAAAACAGCACAATAAAATGTATTGAAGATTGTGCGGTTTATTTACATTTATATTACATTTACTACAAATATATTCATACATTATATTTGTATTTGATTCTATTGGAATATAAGAATATATATAAGAGCTTAATAAAAGAAAAATGCTATCAACATATTATTTTGATATAAACTTATTTATAGAAACAAGCTAATAACTTCAAATCACGTTAAATATTATTGTAATCAACATTGTTCGCTCTTCGAGCTTCTAAGTATTTTGCTAATTTTTTATACGAGCTCCTGTATTTTAGAACAAACGGCTGGATTTTCATTCCTTCTACCCATTTCACCTGAAAGAAAATGGACGGTGATCAATTAATTATTAATTTTTTTTAATGTAAATGATAAAATCCATTGCAAACTCAAATATAATTACACGCTACATATATGGTAAATATAAAAAAGAGAGAATTATTTTTAAATAATATTTATACA